CTTGACAACCTTGCGGGAAAATTTCTATGGTGCCGACCCCGAGGGGGAAAAGATGATGCTAAGTGAAGGGACCTGGTGCTGGTAGAAAACTGAGGCACCGAGGGCATACTGGCCTCTTGGCCTGGTAGTGTTTAACCCACCCAACAAGGCGGGCGGTTGAGAATGGTGAAAGTGAGAATGAACGGTGTCGAGACTAAAGACCCATCAACAGGCTTTTGCCTCTCGAGGTCCACACGGTGGACCGGGGCATGAGAAATCAGACCAAGGTTGAGCGAGCTGAGCGGGCCCCCACGAACCCTCGAACGGCGCTCGATCCAGGGCCCACTGGGGGGCCTGCGGGAGGCAGACTTGATCTAGACTTAGCGCCCACCTCGCCGGCGGGAGGATGTGGAAATTTATTTGGTCCAAATAGTTCCACAGCTCAGATCCAGCATGAGCGTCTGGTCGTCTGAGCCGAGCGAAAACCCCTTAAACCCTCCCAACCCAAACAAGGCATTCTCTGGTTGGCGGTTGGTAAAACTTTTTTAATTTATAGATTTACTCTTCAGGGAAGGAGTAGGTAGGTTTACTGGTAATTTCACTAATAAATTTGGTTTACTAAGGCATCTGTAGATAATGATTTGAGTAGACCTAAGACCTTTAAAATAGGGAAGAATAGGGCCCATAATGTAGGCAAACATTAGGATAAGTTAGCTAGGGAGAACCCGGCAGCCCCAGCTTGAATGGGGGGGCGCAGGTCACAAGACAGAATAGCGTCCTTCTTACGATAGACTTCGACTGGACAAGACGTGCCGTGAACATCAGGCGGCGCCCCCACGTGTCTTCACATCTGAGACCTGGGAAATCTGGTAGAGACACCCTCGATGTACCGTAGATGATCTCCTCCATCAGCCCATACAGTTTAAAACGAGATATTCACCTTTTCCAGTAGGATCTGGCCAGTGACTTAGGAGATTGTGGATTGAGTTAACTGAGGGCTCGGCGTGCTACAGAGAGAGTAAAGCCCAGTAAGACCAGCGTCTCAGAGTCTCTGAAGCTAGCGTCTGAGTCTGCATAGTTATACTAGGGGATACATACCCCCTTGGATATAGGAATTTCTGAGGTGCAGGCAGGACACAAAAAACGATTGAATATTGCAGGAATTAATGCTCCCGGTTGCACGTGGTTCCCAAGGGGAAGTCCAAGGGGGCTAAAGCTAGGCTTAGGAAGTTGAAGATCAGGATATATGCTGCAACACCAAGTAAGTTAGTCCTTTATACGTGCATGCAGGCGAGGTTTCTTGCAATACCAATCATTTGTGAAAAATCTGTCCTATAAGCCACTTGTGAGGCTGAGGTACCCATCTCAGAGCTCGGTGTCAACAGAGTTTGCCAGGGTAGGCGACTCACTTGGAGGCAGCCCAGACAAATTTTCACACTTAGCATGGCTAGGCATTTCGGGCAGACTTAGTTTTATTCTTAATTGTAAAATATTACAAATTATGAGGTAAGTTGGTATTATGGCTAAGTGACTAAATACTAGTTTGTGAGTTTAGCAATGTGAATGCTTTTGTTTTGGCACAGTACATAGTTTCAGTATTGGAGTATCACAGGATTCATTATTTTAAGACTGAGATTAATATTTTTGTTTTTTGGTCAAATGAGTCAGTGAGTGTAAGTGTGAACCACCAGGTGGTATTCGTGTAGTTAGTTGACAGGTGTATCAGGAGATAAGATGTTTTCTAATGGTAGTTTTGAAGGTGATGAATGTGTCTGCAGTTTTTAGAGTTCTCAGGTAGGGTATTCCAGATTTTAGGCCTTTGACATACACTGAATTTTTGTAAAGGTTTTGTCGGACACGGGGGAATTTTCGTAGAGATGTTTGTGTCTGGTGTTTATGCCTGTGGGTTCTGTCACAACTATCAAGAAAGCATTTTAGGTCAAGGTTGATATTAAAGTTTAAGGCCCTGTAGATGTAGATTGCACAGTAGTAAGTGTGAATGTACGAACAGGGAGTAAGTTTAGATCTATGAAGAGTGGGGGGGGGTGTTTTCCAGGGATGGGATTAGTGATTATTCTTACTGAAACTTTTTGTGGTTATTATTGGCTTTAGTTGTTTGCTGCAGTTGATCCCCCAAACACAAAAAGCATAGGTGAGGTATGGATAAATAAGTGAGTGGTATAGTGGAGAAGGGGATTTTTCGGCACGTAGTATCGTATCTTGGAGAGGATCCCAACCGTTTTGGATACTTTTTTGGTTATATGCTGGATATGGGGGCTGAAATTCAGGTTGTTGTTAAAGTATAAGCCTAAATTTGCCCCCATTATTTCCCGGTAATTAGAGTGTTGTCAATCTTAATGTTAATTTGTGCATCTCCTGCTCTGCTACCAAACATAATATAGTAGGGTTTTTTCAGTGTTAAGCGTAAGTTTATTGGCTGTCATCCAAGTCGATATTTTGATCAGCTCCTCATTCACAGTGGTGTTGAGGGTATATCTGGCTTATGTATGATTGGCTGGCTCATTTTGGGGTTTGGGTCACTCATAACTGGCTCACGTATGGTTGGCTCACCATAACTGGCACACGTATGGTTGGCTCACTCATAACTGGCTCACGTATGGTTGGCTCACTCATAACTGGCACACGTATGGTTGGCTCACTCATAACTGGTTCACGTATGGTTGGCTCACTCATAACTGGCACACGTATGGTTGGCTCACTCATAACTGGGTCACGTATGGTTGGCTCCTCATAACTGGGTCACGTAGGTGGCTCACCATAACTGGCTCACGTTGGTTGGCTCACTCATAACTGGGTCACGTATGGGTTGGCTCACTCATAACTGGGACACGTATGGTTGGCTCACTCATAACTGGGTTCCCCGTATGGTTGGCTCTCATAACTGGCTCACGTTTGGGGTTTGGCTCACTCATAACTGGCTCACGTATGGTTGGGTCACTCATACTGGGTCACGTATGGTTGGCTCACTTATAACTGGCTCACGTTTGGTTGGGTCACTCATAACTGGTTTACGTATGGTTGGCTCACTTATAACGGCTCACGTTTGGTTGGGTCCCCTCATAACTGGGACACGTATGGTTGGTTCACTCATAACTGGCACACGAATGGCTGCTCACTCATAACTGGGCCCCCGTATGGTTGCTCACTCAAACTGGGTCACGTTATGGTTTGGGTCACTCATAACTGGCTCACGTTTGGTTGGCTCACTCATAACTGGGTCACGTTTGGTTGGCTCACTCATAACTGGCTTTTGTATGATTAGCTCACGCACGCATGGTTTACTCACATATACCTGGAGGAGGTTGCGGATGTCAGCTCCCACGCGGCCCGGTTCATGACCAGGGCCCCTTGGTGCAACCAGGGCCTGATCAGCTTTGGGTGCTACTGTTGCCGCACGCAAATCAACGTACTAACCACAGTCCGGCTGGTCAGGTACTAACTTTAGGTGTAAAGTCCATCTCCTCGAAGACAGCCAGGGGTCTGTTGGTAATCCCCCTTATGTATGCTGGCATCTTAGGCCCCTGATACTGTGTTGTGTCTAATCGTACTCATGGCACCCCTATTTTTCATTTGGGGGGGATGTTTTCACCGCCCTGCCAAGTCTTTTGCTTTCCAGGGAGTGATTTCCGTGTGCGATTGAGGCTGGGCCCTCTTAAGATTTTCCAAGTGTATATTATCATGTATTTTTTCTCGCCTCGTTCCAGGGGAAAACAAATGAAGGGCCTTCAACCATTCCCAGTAATTAAGGTGCCTTGTCGTACTTATGTACGCCGTGAAAGTTCTACGTATACTCTCCAGGTCAGCAATTTTCCCTGCCTTGAAGGGAGCAGTTAGTGTACAGCAGTATTCCATCCTAAAGAGAACAAGTGATTTGAAGATAATCATCATGGGCTTGGCGTCCCTAGTTTTGAAGGTTCTCATTATCCATTCTATCATTTTCCTAGCAGGTGCTGTAGATACATTGTTGTGGTCTTTGAAGGCGAGATCCTCTGTCATTATCACTCCCAGGTCCTTCGCATTACTTTTTCGCTCTATTGTATGATTAGAATTTGTCGTATACCCTGATACAGTTTTAATTTCGTCAAGTTTTCCACATCTGAGTAGCTGAAATTTCTCTTATTGAACTTGATATTGTTTTGAGTGGCCTGGTTGATCAGGCTCTGATCCACCAGGAGGCCTGGTCACAGACCGGGCCGCGGGGGCGTTGACCCCCGGAACTCTCTCCAGGTCTCCAGGTAAACGTCCGCTTGGAGTCTTACGGTGTCTTAGATGGAGGTCATTGTCATGGCAATCTGGGTGTTATCCGCAAAGGAAGACACTTTATTTCCATATGATACATTTTTTTTTTCAAAATTGGATGACGTTTAACAGTGCATTCAGAAAGTCATTGGTTATGCAGAGCATTTCACTCGAATTTTCCCCTTTTTCTCTCCCGAATACAGTACGTTCGTCCTGTAGTCAGTGTCATGATAGACCTGAAGCTGCTACAGGCGGATCAAAACTTGTTACTAGAGCATTACCAGCAAGTTTATTTAGGCACAGGTACACATACATGGTGTAAATTACCTAGGATAACCCCCCCCCCAAAAAAAAAATAAATAAATAAAAAACGTCAGGGTGACTTATTTCCCCTGGGACAAGTGAATCACGATAGATTCAGGTAATAGCCACACAAGATGAAATGTTTGGAGTACATAAAGTGTATCATGTTTGGAGTTAGTTGTGCCGCCATGCTCGTCCTGTTTACCTGGAGTTTACCTGGAGAGAGTTCCGGGGGTCAACGCCCCCGCGGCCCGGTCTGTGACCAGGCCTCCTGGTGGATCAGAGCCTGATCAACCAGGTTGTTACTGCTGGCTGCACGCAAACCAACGTACGAGCCACAGCCCGTATTTTGTGGCCGGAATTTGTTTTGCACTCTGATGAAGATTTAATTTCCTCGTGTTTACCGTATCTGAGTAATTGAAATTTCTCATCATTGAACTTCATATTGTTTTCTGCAGCCCACTGAAAGATTTGGTTGATGTCCGCCTGGAGCCTTGCAGTGTCTGCAATGGTAGACAGTCATGCAGATTCGGGTGTCATCTGCAAAGGAAGATACGGGTGCGAAAAAAAGGTAGAGATCACAATGGGTTTTATATCTCCACTGAGCATTGTTACATCACTAGACAGAAATATTAGTCATTCCATATTTCACAGTTACTCCACGTAGTTAATGTACTCAGTACAGTATGGAATAGATTAGATTTAGATTTTAGATGGAATACCATCTCAAAAAGTGGTATTTTATTATCACTAAAAATATATTGGTCATAATTGGGTTGCAGTCTCCTGCATGAAAAAAAAAGTTCATTCATCTTATCGGTGTCAAATGTAGATACAACCTCAGTATTTCAGATATTTTATCAGTTTTAGGAAACAATAGCATTTCCTGGAATCCTTATTGATAGCGGCTTCTCATATCATCAGGTACACCTATCCTTCCCCCAAAAAAGTGATGCACAATCCTCGTCTTCGACAACTTTCTAAACTCAATGTTCTGCAATAAATACATAACCAACACATGACCAGCAGACAAAAGATAATATCACAATCTACGCTGATCCCTCGACCCTTCTATCATATGCTTGCAGAAATATTATTATAATTATTATTAATATTATTAACCCTGACAGTGGGAGGGTGGTAAGTGCTATTATCCAACACCAGCCTGATGGTAATATAATACACAGGTGTATTGCTATATTAATAATTGGGTTTCCACCTTACAAACTGAACTGTTTTGTTGCCTTCAAGCAGTGGAAACTAAGACAGTTTAACTGTAACTGTCTTTTTCTGATGATTATGATGAATAACCTGAGACCTGAGTGTATGCAGTATGTATGAAGGTAGGCGTAGATACATACGTTAAGAAAGGGTTTACCTGGAGAGAGTTCCGGGGGTCAACGCCCCCGCGGCCCAGTCTGTGACCAGGCCTCATGGTGGATCAGGGCCTGATCAACCAGGCTGTTACTGCTGGCTGCACGCAATCCAACGTACGAGCCACAACCCGGCTGGTCAGGTACAGACTTTAGGTGCTTATAATTAAGTTTTTGTGGATTCCTCTCACATAGGCCTCCAGGAGCGTGAAAATGTTGATAACTAAGTAAGCATTAAATAAAGAGATTGTTGAATATAATTTTTTTTTTTTTTCAAATAGAAGATTGAAAAGGTTTGTTAGAAAGGAACTTGGAAATGAGTTTGCAGAGAGTAAAGCATTACAAATAAGGACTAGCAGATAAATTATCCATCATAATGAAATGTGTCAAGTATTTTTATGGAGAAATTGGGCATGTTTCCTTATACCGGGCCGCGGGGGCGTTGCCCCCTGAAAGCCTGTTAGTGGTAAAAAGATAATTATCAATGAGGCGTAAGTTTTAGTGGCCCTTAAATGCAACAAGAAAATAACCAATTGTGGTAAAGTAAACAAATGACAAATAATAAATAAATAAAGAGCTGTATAGCCCTTGTGGCTTAGCGCTTCTTTTTGATTATAATAATAATAAAATAAATAAAGAGAAATACAGTAAGTAAGTTTATTCAGGTACAGGTACACATAAATATAGCTACGTAAGTTGTCATATATAGCAACATATGTGTAGATTACTTAGGATAACCAAGAAAGTCAAAGTGAAATATTTCCATACAATTACCATTGGATAAAATGACATGAACAAAGTACATTATAAGACAACAGCCATATATAAAAACCACAGACCCCTGGGGTTCGATTCCCTGGGAAGGGGTGGACACACTGGACGTGTTTCCTTACACAGGTTGTCTATCTTCACCCATCAGTAAAATAGGTACCTGAGAGTTAGTGGACTGGTGTGGGTCGCATCCTGGGACAAAACTGATCTACTTTGCGGGAAATGCTCAGCATAACAAGGGACTTCTTATATAGTAGTGTGTCATTGATGTCAGCTATGGTCTGTATACCTTGTACATGTACTTGTAGAAATATTATTATAATCAAAAGAAGTGCTAAACCGCAAGGGTTATATAGACTTGTAGAAATAAAGATTACGTATTATATTAACTCTTCTGTGGCACTGTACTCACCCATATGTGGTTATAGAGGTCGAACCAGGCCCGGTGGCCTGGTTCGGTGGCCCGGTGGCCTGGTGGTTAAAGCTCCCGCTTCACACACGGAGGGCCCGGGTTCGATTCCCGGCGGGTGGAAACATTCGACACGTTTCCTTACACCTGTTGTCCTGTTCACCTAGCAGCAAATAGGTACCTGGGTGTTAGTCGACTGGTGTGGGTCGCATCCTGGGGGACAATATTAAGGACCACAATGGAAATAAGTTAGACAGTCCTCGATGACGCACTGACTTTCTTGGGTTATCCTGGGTGGCTAACCCTCCGGGGTTAAAAATCCGAACGAAATCTTATCTTATCTTATCATGACCCCCCACAATATTAATATAGATGCAGGTACTGTCATAGATACCGGGTGACTAACATACTGCAACGCTGTGACCCCTAGTGGGTTTAGCTCTTGGTTTTAATTATAATAATAATTATGACAATGTTAACGGAAATATTTATATAGTTATACAATGGAAATCAGTCATTTTGTGTAATTTTTTGGGGGTTATCCTTGGTAATTCTTATAGTTCAGGTTCTTGATTTTTCTTTATGGTCTTTGTGTTATTGTGATTGGGGTTCACCAGTTATTTTTACTTTGAGGTCTTCGACTTATTTCACTTTGAGTTTTCAACCTATTTCATTTAGGCCCTTGCATTATTTCAGTTTTTCTTTTCAAATTAGATGTACTGTATTGCAATTTGTACTTTAATATTTCACTTGGACTTCTCAGCCTATTTCAGTTGAAGGCTTTGACTTACTTCAGTTGAAGGCTTTGACTTATTTCAGTTGAAGGCTTTGACTTATTTCAGTTGAAGGCTTTGACTTATTTCAGTTGAAGGCTTTGACTTATTTCAGTTGAAGGCTTTGACTTATTTCAGTTGAAGGCTTTGACTTATTTCAGTTGAAGGCTTTGTTTATTTCAGTTGAAGGCTTTGACTTATTTCAGTTGAAGGCTTTGACTTATTTCAGTTGAAGGCTTTGACTTATTTCAGTTGAAGGCTTTGACTTATTTCAGTTGAAGGCTTTGACTTATTTCAGTTGAAGGCTTTGACTTATTTCAGTTGAAGGCTTTGACTTATTTCAGTTGAAGGCTTTGACTTATTTCAGTTGAAGGCTTTGACTTATTTCAGTTGAAGGCTTTGACTTACTTCAGTTGAAGGCCTTAACTTATTTCAATTGAAGGCCTTGACTTATTTCAGTTGAAGGCCTTGACTTATTTCAGTTGAAGGCCTTAACTTATTTCAGTTGAAGGCCTTGACTTATTTCAGTTGAAGGCCTTGACTTATTTCAGTTGAAGGCTTTGACTTATTTCAGTTGAAGGCTTTGACTTATTTCAGTTGAAGGCCTTAGACTTATTTCAGTTGAAGGCTTGACTTATTTCAGTTGAAGGCCTTGACTTATTTCAGTTGAAGGCTTTGACTTATTTCAGTTGAAGGCTTTGACTTATTTCAGTTGAAGGCTTTAACTTATTTCAGTTGAAGGCTTTGACTTATTTCAGTTGAAGGCTTTGATTTATTTCAGTTGAAGGCTTTGACTTATTTCAGTTGAAGGCTTGACTTATTTCAGTTGAAGGCCTTAACTTATTTCAGTTGAAGGCTTTGACTTATTTCAGTTGAAGGCTTTGATTTATTTCAGTTGAAGGCTTTGACTTATTTCAGTTGAAGGCTTTGACTTATTTCAGTTGAAGGCCTTGACTTACTTCAGTTGAAGGCCTTGACTTATTTCAGTTGAAGGCTTAACTTATTTCAGTTGAAGGCTTTGACTTATTTCAGTTGAAGGCTTGACTTATTTCAGTTGAAGGCTTGACTTATTTCAGTTGAAGGCTTGACTTATTTCAGTTGAAGGCTTTGACTTATTTCAGTTGAAGGCCTTGACTTACTTCAGTTGAAGGCCTTGACTTACTTCAGTTGAAGGCCTTAACTTATTTCAATTGAAGGCCTTGACTTATTTCAGTTGAAGGCCTTGACTTATTTCAGTTGAAGGCCTTAACTTATTTCAGTTGAAGGCCTTGACTTATTTCAGTTGAAGGCTTAACTTATTTCAGTTGAAGGCTTTGACTTATTTCAGTTGAAGGCCTTGACTTATTTCAGTTGAAGGCTTTGACTTATTTCAGTTGAAGGCCTTGACTTATTTCAGTTGAAGGCCTTGACTTATTTTAATTGAAGGCCTTGACTTATTTCAGTTAAAGGCTTTGACTTATGTATTTCACTTAGAGTTCTCAGTTTATTTAAGATGGGTCTTCAGTGTAAGCTTTATTTGCAATAATCAGCAAATATTTTACAGACAGCAGTATGTACTGTACTATAAATTTATAGTGGTTCTAAGGGCATATAGATGTTTGGGTATACAAGAGTAGTAAATTATGTAGAATTAATATAGGATAACTCAGTAATTATGTCTTATCTTTCAGGATGCTTGAAAGTATTATTAGCATGTGACTACATATTCTTAATTGCCGTGATGTCAGCAATCTCGACTGTAGATCTTTTGATCAAACTCGGAGGCAGTGCAATTACAGAGAAGACACAGCTTGAGACATTTAATGAGACTGCTATAAGCATTGCGGTGAAAATGGTCAAGATGTGTGCAGACAAGGGTCTGAAATTAATCCTTGTTCATGGTGCAGGGTATGTACATTTAATTACTCTTTTGTAAGAACATAGTGCATTAACTCTTATTTTGGAGAGAGTTGCCTTGATTAAGGTTGAGATTATTTCAGCTTGATACATTGTTTGTACAGGAATGGTGACATTTAAGTGTGCATGCAGAAAGCCCTTAGTATGCAGACATTGCAGAGCATTTTGGGCAAACTTAAGCCTGTCTTAAGACTAAAGGCAATTATTAATTGATGGTAATGAAGAGCTCTTGAGTCAAGGAATTGGAGCTGCCCTCCCCTTCCTTGTATCAAACCTGACTGCCTCCATTCCCTAGGAGCTGTATGATGATCACAAGTTTAGTTTTAACCTGTGAATTTATAATAATATATGTATAAAAATTCTTTTTTTTTTTCTCTTAACATCATTAGACATGCAGTCATGTACAGATGCCTTTTACACATGTCAATACTGTATACAGTAAATTTTGTATGCAGTACAGTATATAACTGTAATAGTATAGTACTGTATATTTTATCCTGGAGGTGGGAAGTACAGTGCCTGCATGCTAATGGAGAGGTGGGAATGTTATAGTTTGGAGGGTAACCTGAATAGTAATGCCAGAATGCTTCTAGCAAGATAGTGTAAGTTTATTTAGGTACAGGTACACATAAGCACAATTATCATACATAGTATAAATTACCTAGGGTAACCCAAAAAAAAGATAGAGTGTCAGTGAAAGTTATTCCTCTCATTGTGGATCATGCTACCTCAATGGAAGACGTCCAGTGTGTTAAAAAAAATTATCCTTTGTCTTTAAAATAAGTCTGAATGATTCTTTAACAATTATTGCAGAGGTTCACTATGAAACAAATATTAATTCCAGATCCTTTGGTCATCAGCAAGCTAAAAAATACAATGTTAATGGAGGATGGGTCAAGAATAACAGTGGGTCACAGGTTAAATTAGGCTTCTCCCTGACAAGAGTTTCATGTTTAAAGGTAAGCATATCTCTAGGTAAAATACAATAGGTAGTTAATAAAAAGCAAAAATTAAAATACCAAATTTTAATTTCTTAGGAAATGTCATAATTTTTGTTAATAGCCCTGTACATTAGTGCACCAGCAATTACTGATGTACTAATACTCATCATTGGTACCTCAGCAGTTGCTGGTTAAGCAACATTAGTTTACTGCTGATGTACCTGTGCTGAGTATTTGTGATTTAGCAGCTACTAGCTTACCAGTACTGTTTACCTGGAGTTAAGCATCCATAGCTTGATTAACTCTCATCATTTTCTAATGGGATGGAAATCTCTTAGGTCTCCTAAGATGCATTTATATTTCGTGTAACAATATATGGTAGTCCCCTTGTATCCACAGATGATACATTCCAAGACCTACTGTGGATACCCGAAACAGTAGCAAATCCTATATATAAGTCTTTTTTCATTTACATACATGCTTATGATAAAGTTTAATTGATAAATTATGCACAATAAGTTAATAGGAAGCACTTCACAGCTTCTCTTAGGCTTTGAAGAACAGCCATCATCACTACTTTTGTGCTTTGGTGTCATTATTAAGCAAAATCAAATCTTATTTTTGGGCCATGGTAAAACTGTGGATAACTGAAATTCTAGTGTAGTATAATGCATTAGATATACAGTGGAACCTCAAAAATCAAACTTAATCCGTTCCAGGAGCTAGTTCTAAATTCGAAAAGTCTGAAATTCGAAGCAATATTTCCCATAAGAAATAATGGAAATACGTACAATTAATCCGTTCCAGAAACCCAAAAATATTCACACAAAAAATACATTTTATAGAGATTAATTACAGTTTTACATACAACAAATACTATAGTTTTTAATTATGTATAGTAATACATATAAAATAACATTTTTACTTACCTTTATTGAAGATTGGTGATGGTATCTGGAAGATAGGGAGGAGGAGAGAGGGAGTTGAGGTTAGTGTTTGGAAGGAGAATCCCCCTCCATGAGGACTTCAGGTAAAGCCCTCTCTGGGGTTACTTCCCTTCTCTGTCCTTTAATGCCACTAGGACCAGCTTGAGAGTCACTGGACCCCTGTCTCACAAAATAACTGTCCACAGTCCTCTGTTTCTGGCGCCTCTTTAACATTTCCCTAAAATGGGACATGGTTCTGTCACTGAACTTGTTGCAAAGATGGCTTGTTTCAGCTTGCTCAGGGTGGTACTTCTGCACAAACATTTGGACATCATTCCACTTGGCACAAATCTCCTTAATCTTTGAAGAAAGCACCTCATCCACTCCCTATATTAACACCTTTCGCAACATCAGCTTCCTTGATTTGTTCTTTGACAGGCTAGAACCAATGGTCGACTTGTTTTTCCCATACATCCTGGCAAGCTCAACAAGTCTCACACCACTCTCATACTTCTGTATTATTTCCTTCTTCACATCTATGGTGTTTCTCACTTTCTTTACCACAGGGGTACCACTAGCAAGTTTCTTTGGGCCCATGGCAGCTTATTTCACAATCCCACAAGCACTAAACACAACGAAATAATCGTAAAATGCGTGAATGAGAGCGCAGGTTAGTGTTCACTCAAGCATAAACAAAGCTAGACTGCTCACGGCGCCTGCGCAGGGACGCGGACAGAGCGGGCCGGCAGACAGGTCCCGTACCCGGCGGTCCGAAAATAGGGGCGCGTTTGATAATAGGGACACAGTTTGTCCGAAAAAATGGTCCTATTTTTGAAACGTTCAATATGTGATACGTTCGATTTTTGAGGTTCCACTGTATTTGAAAGACAGCTATTTTTCACTGTGTATGAAGCTAACTGTGTAGTTCTTGCATGACGTCATTCAAATAAAGGTCATGTATTTCTATTGGCATCATTGCTAGTTCTCTGTAAGCCTATGCTATATATGTATGTATATGTATGACATAGAGTACTGTATACGTATACAGAATTTGCAAAGTTTTAATTACCTTTTCTTTCCTAGCTCAATGCCAAAGTGGTGGAACAATTAACTAATGAAGGGTTACCTGCTGTAGGAATATCAGTGAGTTGACCTAAGTTGTGTACTTATCTAGTGGTTGTTTCAGAGATCCCATCATCCTGGTATCTGAATATTTTCAACCATTAAAGCATTAGATATTAAAATATCCTGTTATTAACCATCATTCTCAACTAATTCATAACATTGCTTATTTTTCATTTTTTATGGAATCAGGAGTTGATGCTTGATGCTGTAATAGCCCTTATCATATTCTTTTTAAATCACTTACCATACCCTTATGTCTGTCATATAGGTTTCAAATTGAGACATTTTCTGCTTCAGTGCTTTTTTTTTGTGTAAATGGTCTTGATTTATTAGCTCATTCCATAAGCTAATAATGGAAAAAAATTCATCTTATGAATGATATATATCAGAGGAATTTAGACTTTCACTGAGCCAGATGTATTTTTACAGTAGATTTTTAAATAGTTAAGTCTTCTTCTTTCAACACACCGGCCGTATCCCACCAAGGCGGGGTGACCCAAAAGGAAGAACGAAAGTTTCTCCTTTTACATTTAGTAACATATACAGAAGAAGGAGTTACTAGCCCCTTGCTCCTGGCATTTTAGTCACCTCTTACAACACGCATGGCTTATGAAGGAAGAATTCTGTTCCACTTCCCCATGGAGGTAAGAGGAAATAAACAAGAACAAGAACTAGTAAGAAAATAGAAGAAAACCCAGAGGGGTGTGTATATACTATATGCTTGTACATGTATGTGTAGTGTGACCTAAGTGTAAGTAGAAGTAGCAAGACATACCTGAAATCTTGCATATTTATGAGACAGACAAAAGACACCAGCAATCCTACCATCATGTAAAACAATTACAGGCTTTCATTTTACACTCACTTGGCAGGACGGTAGTACCTCCCTGGGCGGTTGCTGTCTACCAACCTACTACCTAGAAAATAGATAAGAATAGTGAAATATTGTTAACTAATACTCTACATCTGCCAAGAAAGACTAGAATATAGGTGAGTCTCCCTTGCAGTTCTAAATACTGTACTGTTGTATTCTTATTTCTCTTACAGTCCTTTGTATACACTCTAATTATTCTTCTTCTTCTTTCAACAAACCGGCTGTATTGCACTGAAACAGGGTGACCCAAAAAGAAAAACAAGTTTCTCTTTTTAACTTTAGTAATGTGTACAGGAGAAGGGGTTACTAGCCCCTTGCTCCTGGCATTTTAGTCGCCTCTTACTACACGCATGGCTTACGAAAGAAGAATTCTGTTCCACTTCCCCATGGAGTACACTCTAAATATTTTATTTATTTATTAACACATCAGCTGACTCCCACCAAGGCAGGGTGGCCCCAAAAAAAAAAAACTTTCATCATCATTCACTCCATCACTGTCTTGCCAGAGGTGTGCTTACAGTACAGTTATAAAACTGCAACATTAACACCCCTCCTTCAGAGTGCAGACACTCTACTTCCCATCTCCAGGACTCAAGTCTGGCCTGCCGGTTTCCCTGAATCCCTTTATAAATGTTACTTTGCTCACACTCCAACAGCACATCAAATATTAAAAACCATTTGTCTCCATTCACTCCTATCAAATACACTCACACATGCTTGCTGGAAGTCCAAGCTCCTCGCACACAAAACCTCCTTTATCCCCTCCCTCCAACCTTTCCTAGGCTGTCCCCTACCCCACCTTCCCTCCACTACAGATTTATACACTCTCGAAGTCATTTTGTTTTGTTCCATTCTCTGTACATGTCTGAACCACCTCAACAACCCTTCCTTAGCCCTCTGGGTAACAGTTTTGGCAATCCTGCACCTCCTCCTAACTACGAATTCTCTGCATTATATTAACACCACACATTGCCCTCACACATGACATCTCCACTTCCTCCCACCTTCTCCTCACTGCAACGTTCATCACCCATGCTTCACACCCATATAAGAGCATTGGGAAAACTATGCTCTCATACATTCCCCTCTTTGCTTCCAAGGACAAAGTTCTTTGTCTCTACAGACTTCTAAGTGCACCGCTCACCCTTTTCCCCCGCATCAGTTCTATGATTCACCTCATCTTTCATAGACCCATCTGTTGACGTATCCACTCCCAAGTATCTGAATACGTTCACCTCCTCCATACTTTGTCTCTTCAATCTGATATCCAATCTTTTGTCACCTAATCTTTTTGTTTTTTATAGTTATACATATATTTATCTCTTCTCCATGGGGAAGTGGAACAGAATTCTTTCTCTGTAAGCCATGCTTGTTGTAAGAGGCGACTGAAATGCCAGGAGCAAGGGGCTAGTAACCCCTTCTCCTGTATATATTACTAAATGTAAAAGGAGAAACTTTTGTTTTTCCTTTTGGGCCACCCTGCCTCGGTGGGATACGGCCGGTGCATTGAAAGAAGAAAAAGATATTTATCTTTTTAATTTTTATTTGTTTCTAATTTTATATTTTTCCTCTGTTTTTGTTTCACATTTTTTTTCTCTCTCATAAACATGCAAGATTTCAGATACATCTTGTTACTTCTACTTACACTTATGTCACACTACACATGCATGTACAAGCATATATATATACACACCCTTCTGGGTTTTCTTTTATTTTCTTACTAGTTCTTGTTCTTGTTTATTTCCTCTTATCTCCATAGGGAAGTGGAACAGAATTCTTCCTCCATAAGCCATGTGTGTCATAAGAGGTGACTAAAATGCCAGGAGCAAGGGGCTAGTAACTCCTTATCCTGTATACATTACTAAAGTTGAAAAGAGAAATTTTTGTTTTTCTTATCGGGCCACCCTGCTTTGGTGGGATATGGCCAGTTTGTTGAAAGAAGAAAAAAAGATTTTCATCTCCTTTTTTCTCAGTAGTATTTTTATTTTTTTTGTAGCCATGCGGCAGGTGGACAACCAAAAATGATGAGGTTATACAGTCAGGAGTGGCTGCTGTGTATGACCTCTTGAAGGCAGGTTTTATCCCGGTATTGCACGGAGACTGTGTTCTGGACACCATCAAAGGATCCACCATCCTTAGTGGTGACACTGTGATTAAGGTTGGATATCCATTTTGTGTGTTGTATATTCCTGTTTGTGATTGTGTTGGACAAGTCTTAGCTTGTGTCTGCCACCTCTTAACTGGCTTTGACCACAGACTAAACAACCCCCCCCCCCAGCCTCAGGGACCCTATGATACCTATTCTTAAAGCTGTATGAGAAGTCTGTCTCCACCATCTCTATCCAGGTTATTCTTTCTGACCATCCTGAGGCTGTGTACCATCCACAATGACAATACAGTACTGTACTCAGAATCAGATTAGAATATAGCTTAATTATTACTATTTTTTTCAACAAACCGACCATCTTCCGCTGAGGAAAGGCAGGCCCAAAAAAAGAAGAAACACTTTCATCATCATTTACTCCATCACTGTCTTGCCAGAGGGGCGCCAATACTAGAGTTCAAAACTGCAAATATCCTGACCCCTCCTTCAGAGTGCAGGCACCATACTGTATGAGATGTGTCATTCAGTGCAAGGAGTGGGGGGATGGAAATTTTATCCTCCATCTGCTATTGAAAAGATAGACACAACATAGTTGTGCTATGTGTCAGTTTCCACCAGTCTGATAAAGTGTTTATACATTTATCAGAGACTACTGTATATCATACTTAAGCTCCAAGTCAGTTTCAGGAGTTTTTGGTAACCATATTCTCAAGACATATTACTATAAAGAGTATTTTTATGTTTAAATATAATTTTTTAATTTAAATCTCACTTGAATTTTGGTAATATACATTATTTGCCAGAAGAATATACCAATATACAGTACTGTATTAACAGGTCATTGTAAAATTTAATATTGTTGAAAACATTCTGTGAATATTTTATGTGCATTCAGTACAAAATATGGTTCTTTACTTGTTAGTTAAAAAAATAATTCTCAGGTAAAAATTATTTTCTTATCTTTTTGTTGAATGCCTTCTGTTTCAGCTGATATTCCTCTCTTCTATGACTTCCTCAGCTAGATATTGCAAGAACTAAGAACAAAAAAAACTGAAAACTGAACTTATTTCTATTTTGAGACTAAAAGTGTGCTAGTGAATTTTGTATTGATTAAGTAAAACATTTCAGACACTGTGTAAGGACCTACCAGTGAAGAAAGTGGTTTTTTTGACTGACGTTGCAGGAATTTTTGACAAACCTCCACATAGACCAGGTAAATACACAGTAGTATTAATGCTCATAAATTCGTAAGGAACTACCAAACCCAGAAGGGTCATACAGTGCATAGGAAATGTTTGGTTTAGATTTGATCCAAGGAAAGGGAGGGCAAGTCCACTTCCTTGGATCAAGTACCCTTTACCAGCATCAAAACACCCCTTTGAAGTGTAAGTGCAGTACTGATATTTTTTGGATAAAAATACATAGACAAATGTTTTTTCTGTGATAATATAATAATCTTTATTTCTACAAGTACAGTGGTCCCTCGTTGTTCGTAATTAATCCGTTCCTGGAGCCGTTACTATAAACGAAATTTACGATTTACGAATCAATTTTCCCCATAAGAAATAATGTAAATACAATTAATACACCCAGAAGTATTAAAACAAAAAAAATTTTAACATGAAATATGCATGTAGTACATAAACAATACAATGGGAAATGATGAATGAAACATTAACAGCATAACACTTACCTTTATTGGAGATTCTTCTTAGTGTATGGGAGACTGGAGGAGGAGAGAGAGTGGATTGTTTATAGTTTGGAAGGGGAATCCCCTTCCATCAACACCTCAGATACCATTTGCTTTTCTGGGGTTGCTTCTCTTCTCTGTTTCTTAATGCCACTAGGACCACCTTGAGAGTCACTGGAGTCCTGTCTCACAAAATAACTGTGGAGAGAGCTCTGTTTCTGGCATCTCTTTAACACTTCCCTAAAATGGCCCAAGACTTTGTCACTGTACATGTTGCCAACCTGGCTTGCAACAACCTTGTTAGGGTGATGTTTCTCCATAAAGCTTTCCATCTTACCCCACATAGTAAAAATCTCTTTAATTTCTGAAGTAGGCACCTTCTTCCATCTCTCTTCCTCCTCCTCTGCAGCAAGATTCTGAGCTGCGATGTGTTGCTCTTCCTGCTGAAGCTCTTGCAGCTCCTCAATGGTGAGCTCTTCATTGTGGTCTTTCACCAATTCTTCCACATCCTCCAAACTCACATCCAACCCCATGGAACTCCCCAGTGCCACAATTGATTTTACAACAGACATAGGCTCATTAGGGTCAGTCCCAAATTCTTCAAAATCCCTCTTGTTGACACAATCTGGCCACAATTTTCTCCAGGCAGAGTTCAAAGTCCTGGTAGTCACTCCCTCCCAAGCCATACCTATAAGGTTATGCAGTGGGGTTTGTAAAGTTTTCTCCCCAAAAATTCCCGGGGGTCAAGTGAGTGTCTGTGTCACATCAAGACCTGTAAACATTGCTTTTGTTGAGTTTTTTTAAAGCTTCAAAAACCTGCTGGTCCAGGGGTTGGGAGGAGGGAGGTTTTGGGGGTCAGAACTTTACTGTGATAAACCCAAACCCCTCGAAAATTAGGTCATCCAAGTTTGGGGATGACAGGTGCTTGTCCTTTACTCAGGCACTTGAGATCCAATTTTTTTTCCAGGGATCCCCTTTTTCAAAAGGGGCCAAAACATTTCATTGAACCACTCGACGAAAATTTCCCTGTGACCCATCCCTTTACTATTAGATTTCCAAACACACACAATTTTCTTCAAAACATTTTTTTTCCCTAAAACACTCTGGGATTTTCAGAATGGTACACTAGTAGGGTTCATTTTGAAATCCCACCAGCTTTAGCACAAAACTTTTAGCGTCAGCCTGTCTTTCAAGGCTTGTGCCCGGCATTCCCCTTTTCCTTTGTGAAAAATCCTCTTTGGCATTTTCTTCCAAAAGAGGCTTTTTGTCCAATTAAACACGGGTTCAGGTTTCAGTCCTTCAGCCCTTTTACCCCTGGAATTCTTGCACATAAGAATCTTTCCCTCCGTAGCCATGCGTGTTGTAAAAGTAAAACAAAAATCCCGGGGAAACCCAAGGGGCTAGTAACCCCTTTTCCTGAAAAGATTACAAAAAAGAATAAGAAGAAGAAAATGTCAAAGGGGGAAAGTCTGATGTGCTGGATTTTGTGCAAATATAGAAAAAATGTTTGTGGATGTTATGAATGAGAAAAAACTGGATTTCGGGCTTTAAGTGAAACAAAGCTAAAGGGGGTGGGAGAGTTTCAATGGAGAGAAAAAATGGGATTAGTCGGGGGTTTCAAATAATTAAGCTAAAGAAGGGAGCAAAATGTAAAGGGATAAGCTATGGCAGGAAAAGAGGGACTACAAATGTATAAATTAAAGGGATTTGGGGAGAAAAATAAAGATTGGATGTGAAAAGTGGGTTATAGTAAGCGTGATGCACCGGGAGGGAAGGGAAGGTAGAGGAGAGAGAAGTTCTGGAAATTTTGAGTGAATGCGGGGGGAGTTTGAATCAATGTGGAGAATGGTGGTTGGGGATTTAAATGCTAAAGGGGGTAAAAATGTTATGGGGGGAAGTAGTAGGTAATTTTGGGTCCCGGGGGGAAAATGTAAATGGAGTTTAATTGAGCATGTTAAAAGAAATTTGGTAAAATAATACATATTTTTGAAAAAAAGATAAATAAATATACAAGGATGATGTGCACGAATAAAAAGATTTGTTAATTTGTTTGGTGGAAAAAAAAGGTTGTGGGTAGGCCCCAGGATGTCATTTTTATAGAGGGCAACTGATATATCGGATCTTTTTTAGTTTAGCACAGTTAGAGAAGAGTAAATGGAAAAGAGAAGGTGGCAACAAATAAGGGGAGGTGAAAGTGTATAAACAAAGGGAGGAAGAAGTAGGGCGAGATATAAGCACATTGGCAAAAAAGGTGGGAGTGCAAAGAGAGTAGGGGGGGGGTTTTGAAGGGGGGGTTGGAATTTTTTAAAAATGCAGATTAGAAGGGGGGCAAAATTTTGGGGTTAAAGGGAAGTGGGGGCAGGAGGAAAAGAGGAGTGATTGGGGGAAATAAAGTAAAGGGTGTGATAAAAAAAAAAAGGTAGCTTACAAGGTTTTTACAAACAAAGTTTATAAGAAAGGAGAGTTAGGGAGAGAAAAGAAAGGTGAAGAGAGTGGTGAGAGAGTGAAAAAGGAGAGCAATGAAAGAGTGGGAGGCACTGCAAGAAATTTAATAAAAAATAAAAAAAAATTTTGGGATTTTAAAAAAGTTAAAAACCCTGGGGAAAGTATGTTTTGTATTAAAAACAGGTGGGGGATTTTAGTAATGGGGAGAGGGGGGTATTAGGTAGAGGGCGAAAAATTTCGGGGAAATTTTTAAATGTTAAGGAAAAAAGGGAGGGGGTAATTTCAGCCTGGCCAGGAGGTATACCATTTTTAGGAGTGAAGAAGAGCAGACTGTAAGTGTGGTGGAGGTACGTGGGCATTACGAGAATAAAGGGGGTAAAGCGGGGAACTGAGGGGATCATGAAAAAAATTTTTAAAAAGCGGGGGGGAATATAGTGTTGGGGTTTTGGATTTTTTGTTTAATAAATGATGAAAGAGGGGAAAGGACCTAGGGATTGGCGGAGGCTGTTAGTCCCTTTTAAAAGGGGAAAGGGGACAAAAGGATTGTAAAAATTAAAGGAATAATTTACTGAGTTACCAGGAAAAGTATAGGGTAGGGTTAAATTGAAAGAATTAGGGGTAAGAAGAATGTAGAATTGCGGACAAACAAGGGGGTTTTCGAGGGGGGTGGGGGATGTGTGAAAGTGTTTACATTGAAGCAATATGTGAACAGTATTTAATAAAGGTGGGGAAGTTTTTATTGCTTTTTATGGATTTAGAAAGGCATTGTTTAGAGTGGATGGGGAGCAATGTGGCAATGTTGCAATTAAAAATGAATGGGTGGTAATTACTAAATGCTGTAAAGAGCTTTTATAGGATATGGGGTCAGGTTAGGGTGTAAAAAGAGGAGAAACTTCCCGGTAAAATTGGGTCTTAGAAGGATTGTAATTAAAACCATGGTTTGTTTAATAATTTATAATGGGGTTTGTAAAAGAATAAATGCTGGTGTTCGGGAGAGGGTGGGATTAAATTATGGGGAATCAAATTCAAAAGGGGAATTGACACGTTACTTTTGCTGTAAATACTGGCTTATGGAGATTCAAAGAAAAATTGAAAAGGTTAGGGGTTGGGTTTGAAAATGGTGTAAAGGTAGAAAGTTAAAGGAAAAAAAAAGAGTAAGGTAGAGGGGATAAAATGATTTAGTAAAGAAAAATTTTTTGGTTTATCAAATTGGGGAGGAGGGTATGGGGGGTTTGTTTTAGAACTTGGGAGTTTGCGTGGGGGTGGTTTATGAAGGTGGGGTTTAATATAGTTTGATGGGGAAAAAAGGTGAGTGGTGCGTTGAGGATATTGGAGTCAAAAAACTTTACAGGGGGAAAAAAGGGGGAATGTATGAAAGTAAGTGTCCCAACATTTTATATGGATGTGAAGTTGGGGTGGTAATGCAGCACGAGGAGACGGTTGGGGGCAGGGGAATGTCCTGTCTAAGGGAAATGTGTGGGTAAATAAGAGAAAATTGGGGTGTGGAAATTAGGAAAGGTGTGGAGTTTAAAAAAAGCTTAGTCAGGGGCAGAAAAGGGGTTGTTGAGGGGTTTGGCATTTTGAGGAATGGACAAAGTAGAATGACATGGAAAGCATATAAATCTATAGGGGAAAAGGAAAGAGGGTAGGGGTCTCCCCGAAAGGGTTGGAAAGAGGGGGGAAAAGGGGGTTTTGTGGGTGAGGGGCTTGGACTTCCAGCAAGCGTGCAGAGGGTTAGATAGGAGGAAAGGAGACGAATGAAAACTTGGGCCTGCGATCTGTTGGAGTGGAGAGGGGAATATTTAGTAAGGGATTCAGGAAACCCGGGTTTTTTTCATATATCGGACTTGGGCCCGGGAAAAGGGGGTACAAAGCCTGCACTTTAAAAGGGGGGGTTTGGGATATTGGCAGTTTGGAGGGGTAGTTGTGTATCTCTTACGTATATGCTTCTAAACTGTTTTTATTCTGACACCTCGAAAAGCAGTGATAAAGTGTGAGTGTGTGAAAGGTTGAATGATGATGAAAGTATTTTCTTTTTTGGGGGTTTTCTTTTTTTTTGGGGGCACCCCCCTCGGTGG